AAAAAAAAAAAAAAAAAAGCCTTGAGAGCAACTCATCCACATGTATAGGTACAATGGCCCCCACAGCCATGATTGCCCATGAATCGGCTGCACAAGGCCTCATTAGCGGGTGAGGCGCTGGCGCTGGTGAAGTAGCAGAGGCCGTGCAGGCTGAGGCCACCACACCCTGGCTGGGAAGAGGCCCCAGCAGAGCTTCTCCACCACCTCAGGTGCTGGTGAATGTGAACGACATCAATGACAATGTGCCCACCTTCCCCCGGGACTACGAGGGACCCTTTGATGTCACTGAGGGCCAGCCGGGGCCCAGAGTGTGGACCTTCCTGGCCCACGACCGGGACTCGGGCCCCAATGGGCAGGTGGAGTACAGCGTGGTGGCCGGCGACCCTCTGGGTGAGTGGGGCTGCTCCGGGGTGGGCAGGCAGGACTCAGAGGCCTCTCAGCACCCACGCAGGAGCCAGGGGAGGAGGAGGGCTGCAGGCACAACTCCAGATCGGCACTGTGTAATCTTGGCTCTGCCGGGCCTCCGTTTACCCATCCACAAGATGGTGGGAATCATCTCCCACCCCTTCTTCATGGGGTTGGGTACAGAGATTGTGATCCTGGAGGGTCCCGGGCCTCTTTGAGAATCTGATGGAGGAGCCAGGGATGTACCTTAGTGGTGCCACAGCTGCCTGGCAAGTGCAAGGTCCTGAGTTTGATTCCCCGTACCAAAAAAAAGAAAAAGAAAATTCCGGTGGGGGCTGGGTACACCTGTAATCCCAGCACTCAGGAGGCTGAGGCAGGAGGATATTGCAAGTTTGAGGCCAGCTACATAGTGAGTACAAGGCCAGCCTGAACTATATATGAGACCCGGTCTCAAAAACATAAATAAATAAATAAACAGATAGATAGATAGATAGATAGATAGATAGATAGATATTTAGGAAAATACATGAAATCCAGAAATCCAGGTCTTTGTCAAACACCCTGATTTTCAGGGACTATTATTATCTACCATGTGTTGGCCATGTGCCAGGTTCTGAGGACACAGAACAGACACAAATCCCTCCCTGAAGAAGGTGAGTTTCAGCTGGAGGATACAAACAATGAACTAACTGATTCAGTAGGTGACTTAGTATTTTAGGAGATGCTCAATGCTACAGAGAAATAGAAAATGAGTGTGCCAGGGGGAAGGCAGTGATTCTTGACCAGGATGAGGCGTGGACTTCCGGGGAAGGGTGTCCCAGACAGGGAGCAGCATGTGCAAAGGCCTTGGGGTTGGATCATGCCTGGTGTTTTCATGGAGGGACAAAGTTGAACCTGAGGCTGGCATGAAGGCGAGCAAAGGGATGAGGAGATCAGAGAGGTGAGTGGCGGAGTCAGAGGTCATCAGGGATAGAAGCCACTAAGAGCCTGGGCAACTTCATGAGACCTGGTCTCAAGGTTTTAAAAACTTCTGAAAAGGGCTAGGGTGTAGCATACTGGTGGAGCACTTGCCTAGCATGCCCAAGGATATGGGCCATCCCTAGGGCTACAAAAGAAATAAATGTATATGAAGAGGACTTGGCTGGAACAGGTGTGACAGGAAAAGGCTCATCATGTCATGCAGGGGTTGCTTTTTATGCTGGGAGTGCAAGAGAGAGGCCTGGGCTGGAGAAAGTATGGTACGTGGGAGCCGTCAGCGTGGAAATACTTGTCGTGGTGGGGATCGAGTCCAAGGCCTCACTTACGCTCTACTCACTGAGCTGCAGCCCCAGGTCTTTTTTATTTACTCTTGAGACAGAATCTTGTTAAATCGTCCAAGCTGTGCTCCAACTTGAAATCCCCCTGGCTGATTGGCATCGGCCTTAGGAATCCAGAGCTGCGGGGAGGGTGGGGTCCCCTGAAGGAGCAAGAGGCCAGAGAGGTTTCCTAGGCCGAGCCAGGCTGGGGCTCCTACCGCAGGGAGGAAGAGCGGACATAGAGGCCAAAATCACTTCCGGATCCCCACCCTCTCAGGAATGATAAACCCAGGCCCAGGCACAGGCCCAGGTCAGGACGCTGCCTCACCTCTCCTCCCACTCTGGAACCCAGTCGAAACTTGAATAATAGGGGCTGCAGGTCAGGGCTGCCCTCTGTGGAGAGCCCGGTGAGTCACAGCCCATCAGAAGAATGGACAACCCAGGCCACCACCTTCCCACCCAGCAGCCGGAGCTTCCTGAGTTTGATCCCCAGTACCAAACAAACGAAAAACCCTGGGCCAGGGATTTAGCTCAATGGTTCTGTCACCTGCCTCATAAGTGCAAGGTCCTGAGTTCAATCCCTGGCACAAAAACAAAAAACATTCACATTGAGATTTATTACTGAAAGGTGTTTACTTATTCCTATCATTTCATTATTTTCTGGTTGCTGAATTCCTTATATTATCCCTCTTTCTGCTTAACTGCTCACCCTGCTTGGTGCATTCCTTCTATTAGACTTTTTGGCATTGCTGGCTTCATTGTCTCTTTCTAGTGTATCCTTGAGAACTTTTTGTAGTGCTGGTTTGATGGTCATGAATTTCTTAATTGCTCTTTGTCATGAAAATACCTTTTTTCTCCATCAGTCTTTTTTTTTCTTTTTAACAGTCTCACTGTGTAGTTCAGCCTGGCCTTGAACTCACTGTGTAAACCAGGCTGTCCTTGAACTCACAGAAGCCCTCCTGCCTCAGCCTCCCAAGTGCTAGGATCATAAGTATGTGCCACCACACCTGGCTCTTCATCAGTTTTTAAAGAAAGTTTTGCAACATATATCAGTCTGGGTTAAAAGTTGTAATTGTAGGGCCAGGTATGGTGGCATACGCCTGTAATCCCAGCACTCGGGAGGCTGAGGCAGGAGGATCACTGTGAGTTTGAGACCAGCCTGGGCTACATAGTGAGTTCCAGGTGAGTCTCAGCTACATAGTGACACCCTGTCTTTAAAAAAAAAAAAAAATTGTAATTTTAGGGGACTTGAAATATTTCACAACAAGGTTTCCTGGCCTTTAAGGTTTGTGTTGAGAAGTCTGCTGTGATTTCAAAAGGTTTATCATCATAAGTGATTTGTTGCTTTTCTCTAAACAGCTTCAAGATTCTGTCCTTTTGTGTTGGACTTCTGGGGTTTTGACAATGATGTGACACAGAAAGGCTTTCTTTTTGTAGTGACTTTTGGGCTTCTATATGCCTCACTTATCTGTATGTTTAATTTTTTCCCAGTATTTAAACGTAGTTTTTTTGTTTTGTTTTTTTCTTCTTCCAGTACAAGGGATTGAACTCAGGACCTTGCACTCCTGAGGCAGGTGTGGTGCCATTAAGCTAAATCCCTGGCCCTGTAAAGTTCTCTGTTATTTCTATAAATAGTTTGTTTGTATCCTTTGTGCTGTCTTCTCATGTTTCACTTATTACAATCATTCTTAGTCTTCTCTGCGTCATCTAGCAGCTGTGGAGCCCATTTTTCATGTTCTCTTGTTATTTCTGAGTTAAGTGGTCTTCGAAAGCATCCATATCTTGTAATTCTGATGCTCTTGTCTTCATATTGGTCTCTTCTCCTGCCCATTCTTTCAATATAATTTTTAATCTTCTGGATTTCTACTTGGAAC